GCAAAGCAGGGCGGATGGATGATTTGCATACATATAGAAAAAAAATTAGGATTTAAAAAAAAAAAAAAATATGTAAAAATCGGATTTCTTTTAATAAAATGCTTTTGGAGAGAAGAAGAAAAAAAAAATAAGCCTTCCTTTATTTAATTCTAAAATAGATTATAGTCCAATTCAACATGAAATAGGGATTAGTAATGCAGCACGAAGCGGTCTGTTCGTGTAATATTTTACATTATTGGTCATTTCATTCTATTAATCCAAGTTACTGAACTCGTGTCTGCAGAGAGAACATGCAGTATTTCACAGAAATTAATGTTATAAAACAGAGTTCAGACACAGATCTTAACCCCACTGTTATTTTGCCAATCTATGTATACACAATGAATACCTTTCATTGTACAGCACTATGGAATTTGCTGGCGCTATATAAATAAAATAATAATTTAACTTTTTCTCCAAATACGAGTGATTAACCAATAAAACTGGAGCCAGTTCAATAATTTCATCGTTAAATGATCACTAAAGGCACCCAGGTGACTGGAGGTAGAAGGGAGGATAAAGATTACATTTTTTAAAATAATTCTATATATTGTCACCTAATGCAGCGCCAAGATAATCCGCAGCAGGAGACTACGAAGAAATTATAGAAGTCATTACAGACCTTGGTTTCCAACAGTCAGTGCGCAAAGAGCGCCCTCTACAGGGAAACCGACAGACTCTTCACACAGGCACTAAGATATATAGACTGTGTGCACAGTATGAACCCCTTCACCCCAACCAGAAGTACATCTACCCCCCCTTTAGCCCAATCATGCTATTCTGCCAATAGCTTGACATTATAAGGGACAATCCCAAGGTTCAATATCACTGTGTCTTTATGGCATACCCGAGTCATTAATAAGTCAATATAAAACAGTAAGCTTCTCCCAAACTTTCTGTGCAAGACTGCTTTAACTTCCCCAAATCTCAGAAATGTTCACAGCAGGGGAATACAAGGTGTGGCCCCAAGGAGAGCGGTGACACATTACACAGTCAGGGCCAGCACTTCCACATGAAATCTTTCTCGTCAGGAATTGGTATCTAACCGTTGTCCATTTTCACTGAAAAAAATGAATTTCTTCTCCCGATCGATCTCCTAGGCACCGCCATCTTAACATTTCATGGATGACGTGTACCGCATGGGCTTCATCTGCCCACACTAGCTCGGACTGTGAAATTTGCGTGCAAGCAAGTTGTACACTTGGGCATTCACCATTGTCCAAATTTCAAACTAAATTTCGGCTATTCGTTCATTTGCCAAAAAGACAAACTTAGAGAAATCACATAGAATGAAACAAAAAACGAATTGTAATTCAGTCTAAGTTGGTTCAGTTTATTACAAGGAGGGAGCTACCAGTTTCCTCATTGTAATATGTAAAAATAAAAGCGAGGAAAGCTAGATACTGAGCCGTGGGAAGCAGAAAAGAACCGTCAAAAGACCTGCGTAACAAGGTAATGGAACTTTATAAAGATGGAAATGGATATAAAAAGATATCCAAAGCCTTGAAAGTGCCAACCAGTTCTGTTCAATCACTTATTAAGAAGTGGAAAATTCGGGGATATCTTGATACCAAGCCAAGGTCAGGTAGACCAAGAAAGATTTCAGCCACAACTGCTAGAAGAATTGTTCGGGGTACAAATAAAATCCCACAGGTAACCTCAGGAGAAATACAGGCTGCTCAGGAAAAAGACGGTGTGGTTGTTTCAGGGAGCACAATACAACGATACTTGAACATAAATGAGCTGCATGGTCGAGTTGCCAGAAAGAAGCCTTTACTGCGCCCATGCCACAAAAAAGCCAGGTTACAAAATGCCCGACAACACCTTGACACGTCTCACAGCTTCTGGCACACTGTGATTTGGAGTGACAAGACCAAAATAGAGCTTTATGGTCACAACCATAGGTGCTGTGTTTGGAGAGGGGTCAACAGGCCCCTTCAACATTGTGAAAAGAATATCATCCCCACTGTGAAAGCTCACTGATATTTGGGGAGGAGGGGCCTCTAAAGGAATCTTGTGAAAATTAATGGCAAGATAAATGCAGCATGTTATCAGAAAATACTGGCAGACAATTTGCCTTCTTCTGCATGAAGGGTGCGCATGGGGCGCTCTTTGACTTTCCAGCATGACAATGACCCTAAGCACACGGCCAAGTTGACCCTCAAGTGTTACAGCAGAAAAAGGTGAAGGTTCTGGAGTGGCCATCACAGTCTCCTGACCTTAATATCATCTAGCCCCTCTGGGGAGATCTCAAACGTGCGGTTCATGTAAGACGACCAAAGACTTTGCATGACCTGGAGGCAATTTGCCAAGACGAATGGGCCGCTATACCACCTGCAAGAATTAAGGACCTCATAGACAACTAGCACAAAAGTCTGCACGCTGTCATTGATGCTAACGGGGGCAATACACAGTATTAAGAACTAAGGGAATGCAGACTTTTGAACAGGGGTCATTTCATTTTTTTCTTTGTTGCCAAGTTTTTTTTATTTTTTATTGTGCCATTGTGTTATAACCTACAGTTGAATATGAATCCCATAACAAATAAAAGCAATGTGCCTGCTCACTCATGTTTTCTTTAAAATGGTACATATATCACCAATTCTCCAAGGGTATGCAAACTTTTAAGCACACCTGTTTAGCGCAGCAGAGAAATAACTCCGTGTCACCGCATAAATAAGATCCCAGAAAACGACTAAAACGGACAATAAACACAGCAATCCGTCCTCTGCACGGATACACCGACAAACACTGTGGCGTAACATCGCAGGGATTCCCTGACTAGAAAATGTGCACTGAACAACAATAATTTATTAGGAAATAAACCAACACAAAATCAATAACTGTGTCAAAAAAGCTCATTCCTGTTGTCAGGTAGTTTGTGTTGCTCAGTTTATTCTCTCTTCCCTTTATGGTATGTACACACGTGGAATATTTACAGCTCAGGTCAAATTCCTGTCATTAAAAAGGGCAGAGAGGGGCCTTTGGGCAGGGGCCTATCGGTTACATGCTTTCCATGGTCGGTCCCAGGCACACATTTCTGCCCTGCGGCCATCTTGGCCCCTTGGAATGAGTGCATGCCACCTGTTTTGTCAATCACAGGAGCATACCTGTGAGAAGGTAGGAAAGCTGTCTCTAACCTTTAATGTCTACCTGTCATAAATCAGACAATGTTTATGGGAACGTTTACCCCCCCCCCCCATGTTGGAGCTGTACGTGTGAATGGCACACATTGCTTGGCTTTGCACACACCTTTCTGGCTCTTGGTACGGAGACGGGTCAGGCCAGTCAGTTTTATCACTGATCAAGTTTAGCAGGTCCTGCAGGATTTAATCTCTTCCTTTACAGGGCCTTCAATACCTTGTTTAGAGTAAAATGATAATGGAGGATCCCTGCTGGGAGCCATAAAACATCCAATAAAACTATCAAGAGGAGCTCGCGGGAAAGCAACAGCTGAACAATAAGAGATGTTAAAAAGATAAATACAAAAGTCAATGATACATCTGGGAAGCCCGAGAGGCCTAATGATGGTTCCTACTGCTAAAAATGACTTCACAAAATAGGACAGATCATACAAACTCCCCAGCCTCTCCGAAGCCATCGCACAAACCCCCCAGCCTCTCCGAAGCCATCGCACAAACCCCCCAGCCTCTCTCCGAAGCCATCGCACAAACCCCCCAGCCTCTCTCCGAAGCCATCGCACAAACCCCCCGCAGCCTCTCTCCGAAGCCATCGCACAAACCCCCCGCAGCCTCTCTCCGAAGCCATCGCACAAACCCCCCGCAGC